GATAAGAGAAGTCGAAAGGAGTATGGCGAAGAGGACACTTAAGGCGATGTTATATGGGGTAGGGTTTATGCTCATAGGGTTTGGAGTGCTAATCATTGGGACAGGGATATAGAATCAATATGCCGCAGTTTTGTGAGAGGTGTGGACAGGTATGGAGTAGTATGAGGGGTAGGGAACTCACTGGTCGTGTGAGGTTGATACAACTGATTGACAATTACGTACAAAGGACAATTTGTCCAGTCGTTGCAACAGCGAGGTTTATTACGGAACCCAGGCTTCGAAGGGGAGTGTATAGACAACTACAAATCATTCTGGGACGAGTTTCAAGGACATTACGTTTTCTGAGATCTAGACGAAGGATCGAACTTGCGGAGGGCGAGGAAATAGCGGAGCTTTGGAGACTGTGATAGCATACCACAATGTATACTAATGGAGGTAGCAACGGGGGTAACATGAACACAGGCGGGATGGGAGGGAATGGTAGTAATGGCAATTGGGGAGGAAGACAGGTCGGTCCGGTCTGCTATGAATGTTGAAAGACCGGGCATATAGCCCGAGACTGCTGGTCAAAAAGGGGTAAACCGGTGCAACAGGATGATGAGATCCATATCTTTGTACGAGACCTGACGAAGGACAAAGAAGAGAAACAGAAACGAGAGGAGGAGGAAGAACGACAACGGGCAAAAGAAGAAAAAGAGAAGAAAAGAGAACTGGATGTGGCTCGGAGGACAGAGGAAATTAGGATGCAATTGCAGGCGGAGATTGCGGAAAAATGGAGAAGGCAACAAGAGGCTGCAGAGAAGGCAAGAGAGACCAAGACGGAGAAGAAGTGTACCAGCCCGAAGATTTCACCGGCCAGCAAAACAGCAATGAAGACAAAGGAGAGGAAGAAGAAGACAAAGAAGCCGACGAAGAAACAGAAAGGGAAGAAGAGGGTTTTGGTGTCTTCATCGAGCTCGTCAGAATCAGGAGAAGAAAGCAGCGAATCGACATCTGAGGACTCGACAGACACAGAAGAAGAGGCACTACGGCTGGTCAAGCTACTACGGGAGAGAAAACAGAAGGCTAAGTCAAAACGCAGGCAGACGAAGAAGAAAGACAACAGGAGAACACATACGAGGACCTACGAAGTAGTATTCCACGAAGAAGGTGCCGGATCGCAGAGAAATTTGTGACAAATATGAGATTAAGGCGACCAGGAAAGATGAGATGGTGATGGAATTGGTTAAAAGACAGACAGAAGTGGCTTACGATGGATTTGAAGAAGACAATGTCGCTGAAGATTGGCCAGGACAGGGAGGAAGATGGCAATACGCCGATTGAAGTCGTAAAGACGACAACCACAGCAAGAAGGGAGACTAGGCAGGGAGACACGCCGAGAGTCACACTCCGATCGGCACCGACACAAGAGGCAGATGGACACTCGAGTTGACTAGCACCGCCCCCTGCTAAGGGCGTGCTTTGGACAACATTGGGTACGTGCCTGACTGAACGAGAGAACCTTTGGGGGCGAGGCGCTATGGGCGAACAAGTTATGCGGATCGAACGACGCATCACCACGGCGACGTTATTGCAAGGACTGGCTGGAGAGATCAAGTGGATGGATAAATACTTCGACAAGTTCGAGGTTAGTGAGGATACTTTGGATTTGAAGACTGGAGGAACATACATCATCAATGGTCTAAACGGGTCTACGTCGGCTATACAGAGCGACCTATC